AAGTGGTTGAGCACTAGCTTTGAGCTAAAAAGCTGAGGGACAGCTCCCAGGCCCAGAGTTCAGGCCCCACAACCAAGTTTTTAAAAAAAGCCATAACTATTACCTTTGTTCTATTACACTCTTTCTCCTGCTCTTCTAGTTGGAGCATCTCTGTGATCAGCTATGAGCCTTACCCCTGCCAAAGCTGTGAGCTCTCCCCACAGCGCCCTGTGCCATCAGAAGTGGCACAAGAGGAATGTGGGATGGAGAACATGGACATGGAACTAGAAGACTGCTAGGCTTAAAGATTGTTATATGCTACAGCTGGGAATGAAACATTTCTCTGCCATTTGGGACTCAATTTCCTCATTTATAAAATAGGGAGGAAAAGAAAACGAGCATGGATACCATGAGACAGACTAGTATCCTCTTTCTCCTCTCTGTCCCAGCTCACCACATTCATTAGCTGGGGAGCTTCCTGCTTTAAGACACAGTGTGGGGAGATGTTTCTGAAGAAAGAAAAGGGAAGAAGAAAAAAGAAAAACAGCACTCCAACAGGAGTCTCCCAATGCTGTGAACTCACTAATAAAGCAAAACCATGGATCAGTCTTTCACACATATTCCCTAAGAAAAAGGAGAAATCTCTTTTGAACTTCCTGCAGCAGCAAAGCAAAAGCCTTTCATTTCAGATCCAAAGTTATTTGTAAGCTGCCTCAATGTCTTTTCACCCAGAGCTCAGGGCACTAACAATAGCAAAGGCAAAGGAAAGAGGAGCTATTGTTTTGTTGTATTTATATATCCTGAGGTAGGAAACAGCATGAAAATATTGTTAAGGAAACTCAGTAGGTCTCTGCTCCAGGGTATGTATATAGTTTTGATGCCAAAGGCAGCAGGGCCAGATGTTGCAGGGCCTGATACCCCCAGAAAGAACAGAAGGGAAGATTGCTGGGATTCCACATTGGAAGGGAAGAGTCCAAAGGAATCACTGGGCTCCCTGCCTGTCCAGCAAGCTGTACCCGCTCCCTTCATAGATGTCTCCTCCCAGGCCGTCCATCCAGACACTACTACCTGGCAGCCTTGAGATCTTGGATACAATGAAAATATCTCTTTTTGTCAGATACTGCATTTATAAAATGGGAAAAATAACAGGGCTCGGCCTTCAGAGCTGTGATGAGAATTAAGGACTTCATACATGTAAGATACATAGTCACATACATAATTTTTGAATACATGGAAATCACATGAACATGGTGTGTGCTAGGTACTCACTGTAAGCTAATATCCTCACTATCTATAATAGGTCTAGGAAAAATGTCAGTGATCCCAGAGCTGTAATTATAAATCTCTTTATAGAGAGACTGTCTGTGGCAGGCGAATTGTTAGACTTTGCTATTGGTTCTGTCACTTACCAGCTCTGGCTCAGCCAGGCTGCTTCAACAGTGGTGATGATGTGGCTCTAGGCTTAGGGTTGCAGAGGAATATGATCCTGCTGTAGGTCATCTGTAGATACTGTATTTCTCAGGGCTATGGACCCCTTTGAGCATCTTCCTCTAAAACTACAGCCATCATTTTTGATTCTTATGTTATAATTAACCCCATCATCATCATTGTGCTCAACTGGTTAGAAGAGAAGGGAATATTTGTCATTTTCATGTCCCTAACGCTTCTACATGCAGTCTTCATTCCCCCACAGTGGCCACTACAGTTATGAGTCCCTTACAAAACAATGTGCCATACTGGGGCTTGAACCATGGGCCTTGATCTCTTGTTTGGCTTTTTTTTTGCTCACGCTTCCACCGAGCCACACCGCTACTTCCTATTTTAAAGTGATCAATTCACCTTTGTCTACTTTCAGAACATGCCTGTCACTCCCCAAGGAGACTTGGTATTCATTAAACTGTTATAAAGATGAGAGACCTGGCACATGCCTACCTTTCCATGTGATGCCCTGTGCTGCCTCAGGCTAGCAGAGCACCCCAAGCAAGAAATCCTCCACCAGCTGTGGTCCCTTAACCTTGGCTTTTCCAACCTTCAGAACTGTGGACCTAATAAACCTTTGTTCTTTATAAATTATCCAAATGGTGGTAATCAGTTATAGCAAAAATTAGACTAAGCACGGTGTCTGGAGCTCATCTTCTAGATTGTTTCACTAGGGTGGAGTGACAATCAGAAGAAAAACATCCAAGACTCAGACAGGAACAAAGAGCCTTTCTCAACAGGTTCTCCTGAGTATTCATTAAATGAAGGTGTAATGAAGAATGTGATCCTACCCAGAAGTCTTTGAAAAGATACTGACATCAAGAATCTATTGTAGCTGGGTGCCAGTGGCTCAGACCTCCAATCCTAGTTACTTGGAAGATGAGATCTGAAGATCATGGTACAAGGCCAGCGTGAACAGAAAAGTCCATGAGACTCTTATTTCCATTAACCAGCAAAGAGGTGGAAGTGGAGCTATGGCTCAAATGGTAGAGTGCTAGCCTTGAGTGAAAAGGCTAAGGGAGAGTATTCTGGCCCTGAGTTCCAGAGTTTTATGGTTTTGTACCTGTGCCAGTACCAACATGTGTGTGCATACATAATTACAATATTTCCCCTTTGAAAATATTCATCAGAGTCTATGCTCCTTTCCATACTGTCTAGGGATACAATAAGCAGGGCTGGATCTCAGATATGGCAGGCCATTTACTATTTATCTAATGTTCCAGAAATCTGTAGCAAAATGTCCCACAGTGGTTAGTGGGTGTGAAAATCTCAAGGTATTTGGTCTGAACCAAAGGCAACTATTGCTTACTGCCTCACCTTTCTCTGTGAAGGGGTCTACCAACCCATCTCCTTTCTCCAAGATGTGGAAGATTTGGTAGGGACCTGGTGGATGGAATCCCAGGGGGTGGAAGGAAAGGTCTTCAAGGGCTGTGAGGAAGACAGCTTCTAGTAGATCAGGAAACCTTACATCATAGTGCTGAAAAACTTAGTTCTCCCAACCACCATATAGCCACAGGATTCCTCCCATGGGTTCTTTATTCCTCTGGGTCAATGCCAGTTTCTTGAAAAAGAGAAATGTTTGTAGAAGAATCCATTTCTGAGACTTTGTGCTGTTAGAGTATAATATACTGCCTTGCTCCCCAAAGCACTACTGTGCCATTGCAATAGAAACAATTCCTTTCAGCCTGGAGGGCTGATCTGCTGCTAGCTTCAGATCACTGAGTAGAAGTTCAGAATGGGGCAGAATGGGGCCGTGATTCAGCCTGGAGGAAAGAGTTGTGGTCTGCTTTGGGTCCCTTTGTAGGAGTCAGTGGGCTGATGACAGATACAGCCAACCTCTGACCTATATCTCTCTCACACTCACTCCTTTCTCCCTCCCTTCCTTTCTCTCTTCTTTTCCTTCTTTTTAATTTGTTTCTGTCTGTCTTTCTCTCTTCTTTTCTTTTTACTTTTTGTGACTGTCCAGGACCTCGGTGGTGTACCTGAGATTTTGTGCTCAAGGCAAGTTCTCTACCACTTTTAGCCACGGCCCTATTTTCAGCTTTCTGGTAGTTAATTGGAGAAGAGTCTCACAGACATTCCAGCCTGGGCTTTGATCCATGATGTGAGCTCAGGTCTCAGCCTCCTGAGTGTCTACGATTGTAAGGTGACCCACGGGCACCAGGCCCTTTTCTGATATTTTAGTTAGGAATTGTGTAGAATTTAGAAAAAAGATCAGAAACAGCGTGGCTCCCAGCTGGCGCATTCCACCTGGGGACATGAAGACCCCATTCCAGATAGAGGCAGAGCTCATGGCAGGCATTCCCTCCCCTTGTCTCTGCTCATGTCTGGCTCTCCAGTGGCCTGGCCTTCTCAGACCATTCCTTCTATAGACAGACTCCAAGCCAAGTGATTAGAGGGATACAAAAGCGAAAACAAGCATTCTGTCACTGAGTGAGCCTCAGGGAACCATCTTCTAGATCTACTAGGACAAAGTCAGTGCTTCCTGGGGGGAGCCTGGGGCACCTCTGAACCCCCTCCCCTCTCCTCCCCTCCTCTCCTCTCCCCTCCCCTCTCCTTCCCTCCCTCCTCTCTGTGAGCCCCTGACAATTCTTCTAGTTGTGTTTTCATAAATGATACCACAAATGAAAGAAAAAGAAGGAGGGATGCACCGACAGACACAGAATGTTCTGTTTCCTGGGGCAGTTAGGAGGGTGGGATGTATATTACTGGGTCACTCTGCACCCTGCCAAGGGGGAGGAAAAGCCTTTGCAAAGCTGCCTGCGATTCGCAGGGTGACAAATGTCTGTGTTTCTTTTTGCTTTTGAGGGCAAGTCCTAGGGAGGGGCTCTCCCAGGGGACCGTTGGGAGGAGGGCCCCAGCAGCCTGGAGTGGAAGGGCCAGCGGATGGAGGGGTGGAGCCAGGCCAGCCAGCCCTGCCTGCGGTGGTGTGGTGCCTCAAATCAATCTGGAAGGCTTTTGCCAAAGGGAACTGGTGGCGCGCAGGGGCGAGGGGGCAGCGATTCCCACCCAGCCCGCCGCGGTCCTCCTCTTCCTCCTCTCTCCCCAGCCCCTCTGGGAGCTGCTCCACGCCGGGCCAGGGTCAGCGGGCTGTCTTTGTGGCTGCTTCCCAGGAAGGAAGAAGCGCTGTCTGCAGATCAGTTATCAGCTGGCTTTCCTGTGCCCCAGCGCCGGGGCGTTTTCCGGGGCGGCTGCCACCCCCGTGATTCCCAGCCAGCCTGCAGGCAGTGCGTGAGAGCCGGATCAACGGGGCATTGTGCAGCCCGCTGGGTGCAGGTTTCTTACCAATTTCTCCACCAGCCGGAAGCAGGCCTCATGCTGCCAGTCATCCTGGCTTCTCCGGCCCCTCTACCCTCCCAGCCATCTCGTTCTTTGCAGGTTCCAAGAAAATACTGAGAAAGCACTGGACTGGACTGAGTGCTTTGGAGGCAGGGACTTGGGGCCTGTCCACCAGCCCAATGGCTTTTCGCCTCTTTGGCTTTAGTGCAGGAAGCTGTCACTGGCCTGCTTCCTGCTCAGATGCAGATGCAAGAAGGCTGTTACATCGTAGCTTCTTTGTTTTTGTTTTGTTTTTACCTCTGCTGGTAGTTTCCTTTGTTCTGTTGTTTTATTTTAGTATCTTAGCTTTGGACTTCATTATGGACAAATCCTGAAGGGGGAAAGCACTTGTAGACCCTGGACACCTCTCTGATGGCTGCTAAGAGGAACTATGGTGCGTTTGCTTTAGCTGAGCTGTCTGTCTGCTTTTGCTTTTTGCTTTTCTGCCGTAGCAGCTGCACAACCCACAGGGGTTCCCTGGCACTGGGCTAACTGAATAGGTACCAGTACCCAGGTCCTGTGTACAGACCTGGGCTCCATAACAGACTCCCAAGCCTGCCTGGATGGTCATCTGTCACCATCTTGGAATGCTTCATAAGTTTATACCAAGCACCCTGCATCTCCACTTTGAACTGAGCTCCAAAATTACAGAGACTCCACCACTACCCAGGACTTCACTCCCTTGTTCTATTCTCTCCAGTTACCTCTTCCACCAAAAGTTCCCAGAACCTCTCCAAATAGTACCACCACTTGAAAGAGCAAGCCTTTACTACCTGAGTCTTGGGGGTAGTGGGAAATTTCATATCCAAAGCAGTTTTCTTGTAGTTGCTTATTGTTTTACTCATTAATATATTGTTTCCCTTTTTCACTTAGCCAACAAAGAGTAAGTGGCAGACAGGAGTTGTAAAACAACATTGTAATACAACAACAAAAGGAATAATTCTCTATCCTAGAAGGAGTACCAAAAAGTGAGAACATAAACAAGGAAACATTTCAGGTGTGGAACTTATCTATGAGGATATTTTAGAGCTAACTGAATCAGTCCTGTTGGTTCAACTTCAGGAATCCTCAAAATGTGATGTTTCTCTTCACAAGCGTTATTGTTGTTGTGTTAACAGATAACACTCACAGAGGCAGAGACGTGGTTGTTTAGTGCCAGCATGGAGACAGAAACAGGAAAAAGCTGAAGAAGTCTCTGGGGACTAGGTCACACATGTCAGTGAGTCCTAGAAAAAGAAGTCAGGCCTTCTGATGTCTCCTCCAGCACTTTCCCCTCTGTAAGGCACAGTGCCCTTGGAACTTGAAACAGGCTTGGCTTGGGAACTGGCAAAGCAAAGCAATGTTGGCATTTTCTTAAGGGTTTTTTTTTTCTCAGTTAGAATCTGAAGACAAGAGTCCTTGGCTGCATGGTAAATGTTTTTACGGGGAAGAGGCCCTGTGTAGCTAAATTCAGTTCTTCCCACCCTGAGATAGTCTCTTGCTCTGACCTTGACATAAGTGTTTGGCAAAGCTGTGAAATTGAAGGCAATACCAGAAGAAAACAAGCAAAGAGAATGGAAAGCTATTCAGGGTGACATTGCAGGGTGCAGAGGTATCTGATTCCTAGATTTTCCATTGCAGTTGGGCTGCAGCACCCAGAGGAGTAACTTCAGTTGGCCTTTTAAAATGAAATTTGACTATTATTATTTAAGTAGAAACATAACTGTTGGGAGATGGACTGATGATGAAGGTTTGCATCCTATAATTCTATTGATGAAGGTTTGCATCCTATAATGCTATTGAGTACTGACCTTGCTTATAGCTGAAAGATGTCTGATTTGAAGAAATCAGAAACTAAATAAGTATAAATAAAGCCCCTACTATGTGCATGATTTTTTAAAAAATGCTATGATGGCTTTCTACTGCCTGTCATGGCATCACTAGATACCAGGTAGGTGTCTCAATTCTTTATTCTTCATTATCAGTCAGTATGTAGCAGCAGTTGTTACCCTAAGCTATGTACAAATAAGCTACAAGCCCATCTGTTGTCTGAGAAGTTATTATGTGCAAGGGAGATTACAAAGAAAATGTTCATGAACTTAAGACTCAGACATTGGGAGCTGTATGAGGGACTAATCGGTCCAGGACCTTTGGCAATGCTGCCTGAGTGGCTTCATTTGGTGGGAAACAGCCAGTAAGGGCAAAGTACTTAGCACTTTGGGGAGCTCAGGATAGATAAAGAGGTCAAACTGGTAGAGGATGGCAAAATGTACACCCCTCAATCTGCTACTTTGACCTCAGATTATGTCCATGGAGCTAAAGACATTTGAAAAACAGCAGATGCAAGAAGGGCCTTCTAATCTTTCTTCCTGAAAACCAAAGATAAGACTTCTATGTGCATGCAAGATGCCCTCACTCTACCAGGAGAAAAGAAACATTCTTTGGCGGGAAGTCCTAGCCAAGAGAATTCTGTGCAAACAGACTTTGTTAAAACAATACTCTTTCCTTTAGCTTCCACATATAACTTACGTTATTTTCCCAGGATTCAGCTTAATCTAAAGTATATAGGCTTTATAGTTCCTGGGGTCTTCATTTCCTTCTGAAGGCTGTGACATGCTGAAAGACATATAGGATGCTTTTGTCCTGTTAATCTATGTATTTTCTTAGCTTAATTCTTGTGCCCTAGAATCGAGGACCCTTGGAGGGTAAAGCTATCCGTACACTCTTCAAGGCCTCTCACCACTGGAACTAAATCCTATGGATTCAGTTCTTCAGCTGCTAGGAAACTGGAAGAAGTGCCCAACACTGCTCTTCAATTTGGATCTTGTACCTTGGTGACAGCTGGAGGCAGCTGCTCCTGCATCACTATGACTCGCAGCCGGGAGCCTTCACCTCTACAGGAACTTCATGGTATGAGGCTCAGCATTGTTCATGGGACTAGGTATCAGGAGTGGGGATAGAGGCGCTGGAGATTGCAAAAAAACAAAACAAAACAAAAAAAGCTACATGAGTAGGTGGCCCAGAAGAGACACTGTTCATTGAGATCCTAGACTTACAAGTGACAGAGATGAGAGAGATATGTGATGGACAGATAACTTTTGGCACTATTATGTACTAGAAATTCTAAAGTATATAATGACCCCAATGGTTTTCAAATGTCTTAAAAGTTGTCAAGAGAGATAATTCTGACTGGCAACATGAGTTGTTCATTTTATATTCCCAGTGTTCCTAACTAATGGCTTCCTATCTGACTAAATGATGATTTACCCTGCCTAGCTGAACAAAGAAGCATGCTCCTCTGCCAGAAAACCAGAAGTGGTGCTGTGACTCAAGCGGTAGAGTGCTTGCTTTGAGCTGAAGAGCTCAGGGACAGCACACAGGCCCAGAGTTCAAGCCCCACCAGTGACCAAAATAAAACAGAACAAAATAAAACAAAACAAAAAACACTTAAGCTAAGAGGGTCTCTCTTTCTCACTTAATATCACAGTATCTCCATTTCTGCATGAGCACTTAACTACAGCTTATACTAATTCCATGGAATTCTATGATTTGCTCTGTGTTATTGTTCTGTCTAGATTAGAATACAGATGTCAGAGGACAGCAAGTTAATCAGGTTTCAACTGAGTGGATCCTCAGCTACAAATGTGCAGTTCTCAGTATCAACACACTACACATAAAAGCATATTGCTGAATGAATAAACCACAAAGCATTGTGGTTCATTTTGAGATTTATATTTGTGTTCCAGCCACTGAATGGCATTGTGATGCTACTTAAGAGCATAAAAGCTGGAGTCACATTTTATCAAGTTCATTTTTAACTCTGCTCCTTAGGAAGTATACTTGAGCTGGTTTTCAAACCATGCTGGACAGCAGTCTCCCTACTTACGAAATGGGGTACATGGGATTGTTATGATGCTTAAATAAACTACATAAAAAACATTCAGGAAAGTGCCAATATTCTTCACTGTGTTTTTTGAACTTGCATCTTTCCATAATCATTTGAATCAGACTTGCGCAAATATCCATTTTGGATCTTCCAAACATGTTCTTCCTTAAGCCATATATCTAAGCATATGTAGGTTGAATAATACCAGCAGAATGGTACTTAGTTGAGAAACAGATGGTTTGGGTATGTGTTGTTTTAATCAGTTCACATGTTCTAGTTCCCTCTAAAAAGTATTTTGAAAATATTATTCAAATTTAGCAAAAATAGACAAGAACCAATGTTAATGGACAATCTGTTAATTCACTCCACTTCTTGTCCTTGAGGCCTCTGTCTTCTATGGAAGTTCACTTTTAAGTTGTAAGCTAGAATCACCATCAAATGATAATCTTGACTGCATGCTTCTTTGGAAGGTTTTGGAGTTGTAATAACTATTAAGCAATGATCAGTTGTTACATTAAGAAATACTACAGATACTATTAATGAAGGAGTTCACATCAAGACTGGGTACACTTCTACCCTCTCTCTTCCAGTCCAACCAGGTGCCAATCCTTTCTTTTCCAGATAGAAGGAATTCATACTCTACCTACATTATTGGCTTTCTGTGGGTCACTGTGACAAGGATTGCATGCCTACTTGGGGCCTGGAGAATGCTTGTGCCTTCATTCAAGCAAGCTCCTCTCTTATAATAACACTCCAAAGAGAACAAAACCCAAAGAAAGCCCTTCTGCTGTGTTTCACAAACTGACCTTCCAGAGAGTTTTAAAAATACCTCTTAAGAAAGACTCTGAGGAGGAAGAAAAGAGAAGTTGAGTTTTGTCATGGCCTAAGGTTCAACAGAAGACAAAGAGACTGTGTGCCAACATGTGGGAGACAGAGAGGTTGGCACCGGGGTATTATTCCAGGGCTGTGGAAGAGGAGGGTGGCAGTCATTGTTCCTTGAGCTTCCCCCACTTGCAGAGTCCCTCACCTCACTCATCTCCTGACTCCCTCCTTCACTTTTTCTTCTGACTAATCTCCATCTGCATTAGAGTCAAGATAGGTGGCCCGGCCTGTGGATCAGATCTGGGTAAGCCAGGTGACTGGTTTGCCTGACTCTAGGAAATAAAATGGTAAAGACTGAGGGACTGACATGCATCAGGATAAAGCAACAGTAATAACTTAGAAGTCTGCAAAGTGATGTGAACCATGAAAGACAGGAGGGCTGGGGTCTACTCCCAAGTCAACCTCTGGCTGAGTCTCTGGTGTCCTGTTGGAGCCTTTGTTTCCTGGAGATTGGACAAGCAGTTTTCTAATCAGTTCTTGCTCAGTTTTCAGCAGCACATGTGTTTCCACATGAGCTGAATTTTAACCCTGCATAATCTGATTCTTACCATCAGATGGTCCCCAACCCTACAAAAGTCAGCAAGAAAGCTCCTTTCTCCATGCATGTCACAGTACTAATTAATTCTGTCATGCTTTATTTTGTTCTTTTAGTCTCAGATAATACATTTGGGACTTGAACTTAGCCTGAGCATGGTCTCAATTCTGTGGCAGGGATGGATGAGCTATATAAAGGCAATATGATCGCTTTAAATTCTGCATATATGTGTGCATATATTTACATATATGTGAGGATATGTGTATGTGCCTATGTGTATGATACAGGATTCAAGTATCATTGTTTCTCAAAGGGCCCTTGAAGCTATTCCGTGTGATTTCATGACAATTCTACCACATTATGTTCTATTTAGCTCTTTTGTTTTCTTTCTGCATTACCATTCCTGTCCATACTGCTACTCAAAGCAGAATTTTAAGTGTACCTCAAAGTGTTCCTCATTTGAAATAAAGCCAGTAAACAGCTTTAGCTGCCACCTCCAGCCTGGCGCAGTCACACAAGCCAACACAAACAGGGTGTGGGCGGTTTGCTGACAGCTCTGAGCACTGAGACCTCAGGACTGGTTTGGTGAGGCTGCTTCGAGATCAAGCAGTGACTTGGGGAAGAGCCAGGAAGGACTCAGTCATGTTGCCTCTTGCAAGGAGCTCCTTCCTCAAGGAAATTCCAGAAGCAATTGTAGAAGCTGCACCCCCCTTTGGTCAGAGCAATTGAGGAAACTTGTCTGACAGGAGGAAGCTAGGATCCACTAATACTGGCTCAGTACTCGTGCCTGAGTCTCAATGTGGGCAGTAGGGTTGGGTCCACACATCCTCTTCTGTTTGATGTCACTGCTGTAATGGACATTCCAGCATCATCCAGCACATTCTTTAGGATACATATTGAAATGATGAGATTTCTATGAATAGTAGTTTAAACGATATTTTGCTGGTGCCTTATGCTGTTGGGATTCTACTTATATAACTTACCTTGCTTAAGCAATGTTCTTCGATTATCTTGGAAGTGAAGCTATTCAATAGCCATATAGAAAGCTTTCAATAGTGTCAAAACAATTGCAACTGTGACTAGGCCATATTTAGAATCCCAAAACAGACGCCATTGATCCTCTCTTGGTATGTCCTCTTGGTATACTTCAGGTAGTTTTGCACTGCAACAAGTTTTGCCTCTAGGTTTCCTCTGGACTCCTGGGAGAGTGTTCTGTACACAGGGTTGGTCCCAAGTGCAGGAAAGTTAATAGTAAACAACCCTCCACCAGAAGACATGTGGTATGAAAATACCTCAGCTTTCTAGCCTTTGGATGAGCCACTTAGAAGTGTGTCCTTCATCACCCAAAGAGGTCTCCATGGTGACCAAGTTTCAAATGTCTACCTTAGTAACATGCTCACTGGCATAACCTGCACCTGCATTGGTTTGTTTCCATGACCTTCCTGATCTTCTCAGGATCATGACCCTGATTAATTAACTATGTGTAGTCAGAATCAGCTTCTGGGAAATCCACACTGAGACATGACACGCCTGCCCTAAGTCTATGCTTCCATCTGATGACATGATCTTAGTGGTGCTCCAAATGATGCTTTCAGGCCTCACCCTTTCCAGGGGCCTCCTCCTCCTCCCAGGGCCTCTCATCACTTTCAAGAAAACATACATCATACAAGAAAACGGGCATCATACATGCAGACTTCTGGGTCTTTCAGAAACAGCCCACACTCATATTGATACATACTGAATTAATGAATACATACTGTCTTTGGGGCTTGTGCCATGCCTTACTTCCTTCAAGCTTGCTTTGATTCCTCTGAAGGCCAACACATGTGGCATATGTTATGACTCCATGTTGAATCCAAGACATAGGGAAGGACCTAGTTCCACAGCTCTGTATCCTGTTGTGGTGGATAAGCATTTTCTTTCCATTTCCTCCCCTCACAGTAAGAGGATGAAGGTGTTTTTTTCATGAATACAGGAAATATCTTCACTACTGCTTTGTGAACTAGCCAGAATTATCCAAAAAGAGGAGGCCTGTTGTTGAGGAGAGATATGTGGGCTGGCTTTTCTATGACAGATTAACAATAGTGCTCTGTGGCCACACCTTGGCAACCTTGTACAATGGGAAAAAAACATTCTGGCAAAATAAGACCAGTGTTGTGTGTGTGTGTGTGTGTGTGTGTGTGTGTGTGTGTGTGTGATTGTGTGTGTGTTACTAAGGCTTGAACTTGGGGCCTGAACACTTTCCTTTAGCTTTTTTTCTCATGGCTGGTACTCTATCACTTGACCCATAGCTCTATTTCTGGCCTTTTGCTGATTAATTGGAGATAAGAGTCTAATGGACTTTCCTTCCTAGATTGGCTTTGAACCACAACCCCCAGATCTTAGCTTTCTGAGTAGCTAGGATTATAGGCTTGAGCACCTGACACCTGGCTCTGCTAATGAAAGAAATCATGAGGTTCAATTTTACTGAGAAGTGTCACAGTCACTTCTTCCTTCCTTCCTTCCTTCCTTTCCCTTTCTTTCTTTCTTTCTTTCTTTCTTTCTTTCTTTCTTTCTTTCTTTCTTTCTTTCTTTCTTTCTTTCTTTCTTTCTTTCTTTCTTTCTTTCTTCCTTCCTTCCTTCCTTCCTTTCCCTTTCTGTCTTTCTTTCTTTCCTTTCTTTTTCTTTCTTCCTGACTTGGGATCAAATTTTAATTTCCTTTGTAAGAGTAATGACTAGTTTTTTGGCAGAAATCATTCGTTCTGTAATTCGTTACTAGGGGTAGAGGGATGGCGATGGATGAAAAGATTAGAGAAGTAGTGGAATCAACAGCCTGAAAAATACAACAAAAAGGGCCTGGTGTGGAGCGCTGCAGGTCCTGAGTTTAAAGCCCAGCACCCCCAGGACAGGGGTGGGCAGAGCTTACAGTACCCCAGGACAGGGGTGGGCAGAGCTTACAGCACCCCCAGGACAGGGGTGGGCAGAGCTTACAGCACCCCCAGGACAGGGGTGGGCAGAGCTTACAGGGGGAAGGAGCAGGGCTCATGTCGCTGGTTTCTTTCTCTATGCCAGGCCCAGGCGCCTTGGGGACGATGCGGACGACCCAGCACCAGCACCCAGTCTTGATGTTTCAAGGGCGGGCGTCGCTGGGAACCGAGAAGACGACGCGCACTGGGGCTTCCGTGTAACGTGCCCAGATCACTGTGGGGGTCAAGAGAGGCGAAGACCGGCCCCAGCTCCGACAAGGAATCCAGCCCACCGCGGCTGCTGACCGGCCCACGCCCGCCTCTTCCCCTCCGGTCACACTCATTTCTGTTCTGTTTGTGCCTGTTCATTTGATTTAGACGGCAGTGACCTTTGGTGAGATCAACATTTTTCACAGAAATAAAGAACTTCTACAAAGCTATAGGGAAAAAGAAGCTTCTGAGAAGTCAAATATGAGAAAAGCAAATAATGATTTTTGTCCCCCAAAAGACAGCATTCAATATGCTGGTTATTTAAAATTAAAGGTCTTCAAAGGCCATGCATGGTGGGAGAAAGTTTACCCTTATTTACCTAAAGATCGAATCTACTTCCAGAGAGAACTCAGTTACCTTCCATCCCCACCCTAAAATCTCTTTTATCTGTGGCAGAGATTCAGGAATATAACCATACCTGAATGGACTTTGTCACAGACATTGTGTGTGGCAGAGTCACTCAATTATAAAGGGAATGCATTACGAGCTAATTTCTGTCTTGTGGATGTATTCATATTCCCTAACACCATTTACTGCCCATCAAAATTTCCTCCGTGAAGAAGGGGACACAAGCACCTGAACTTCACTGGGGCTGGGTGCTCACTTCATGCGTTTCTTCATGTATGCTAAACTTGCACACCTTTTTCTCCTGTCAATCTATCATTAATTCATTCAGCAAAACTTCAAAAAGAGAAGGGGAAGGTTTCTTTCATTCTATGATTGTATCTTGAATTCTCACAACAATTTAGGCAGAGTAGATATTATGCCCATTTGAGAAAATGAAATCTTGAGGTCCAGGGAACTTTACTGAACCACCTACATTTCCCTGCCAAGTCTCTCTCTCTCTCTCTCTCTCTCTCTCTCTCTTTCTCTTTCTTCTCTCTCTCTCTTTCTGTTGTTTTTGAGTCAGATTCTTGCTACATAGCCCATGCTCGATTTGTATATATGCTGGCCTCCATACTCCTGCTTCAACTTCTCAAGATATAGGATTGTAGGTGTGAAATACCATACACACCCCCAAGTCATGTTCTTTGTTTTATTTTATTGAGACTTAATTTTCAAAGCTTTTATGTTTTTAAAATCTTTAGTAGCACAGACTAATAAACATGATTAATAAAACAATGGAACTTCAATAAGTCATTTATTCACTCTGAGCTTTACTTGCTGTGGAATAAATAAATGGATACTATTTATAAGCTCATTTCATAAACTGTATGTCTGGCCTGCTGGCACATACCTGTAAGCCTAGCTATTAGGAAGCTGAGACAAGAGGATCTTGAGTTGGAGACCAGCCCCGTCAATAGCATGGCTCAGTGGTAGAGTGCCAGCCTGAGCAAGCTTAGTAAGAGCAGAAGGCCCTGAGTTCAAGCTCTGGTACTGGCACATACGTACAAAAAGAAAAAAATATGTATTATTCATATCTAGAAAATGAAGATTAAATTCACAAAAAGAAACAACAACATTAAATGTAGCATTAAATAATAGAACTCTTGCCTTGTGAAAGGTCCTGGATTCAACCCCAGTACCTCAGGGAAAATACACACACACACAAACATACATGTACACACATGGGTCCAAGTTTAAGAGTAATGACATGTAACATGCATCAAAACTTTTAATTAAAAAAAATCTAAAGGTATACAAAGTTTAACTATTTTCTTCCCAACTTTTAACTATTTTTAACTATTCTTAAGTTATGAAATTTACTTGGTTCTTCAGTTAGTTATAATCGTTACTACCTTAAGTGTCCAGTGTGGATGACCTTCAATGAAAGCAGGACTTTCTCTATCACAGATGTTAAATTCTGCCTTAGTTAAAGAACAGAGAAAGTCATTGTTTTGCAGGTTGATATGGAAAACCTAGCATGCATCCAACATTCCTGCGAAAGGAAGAGGAAGGCTTTCATATCAGATGTTTTGGAAAGAAGGTAACTGGAATGGGCTAGATGGGAACTTTCCAAAAGTTTTCAATTCGTGTTGAATATTCATGAACTTGGAACTTTCTGTTTCTAATTGCCCAGAGTCCCAGCCTGGCACACTGCAGCCAATAGTTATCTAGTTGTTTTCTCAAGGATTTGGTAGAGATGTTTTTGCTGCAGTTGGCTCTGTGTGTGTGTGTGTGTGTGTGTGTGTGTGTGTGTGTGTGTGTGTGTGTGTGTGTGTGTGTGAAAAGCATTGGCAGAGCCTGGGCCTTTATGGAGTATTGCCTTTGGAGCTGTTTACTTTGGACTCTGTCCAGGATGCCAGACTCATCTTACATGACTCCTGACCAAAGCAGAAGGCACAGCTGATCTCTAAGCATTATCCTCCTCACTAAACTCTCCCCTAGTTTACTTGGGCATTTTGGAAGCTTCCAGAAAAACTTAGGAGATGTGACCGTATTACTTTCTGCAACAGGAGAAAGCTTCCTAAGCAGTTTCTAAAGAAGCAAGTGGAAATGTTTGGCTGGGTCGGCAGCTATGTGCTGAGCTTCCCACAAAGTTCATGAGGGAATTTGATGGGCTTTCTCCCTCCTGCCACCTGCTCTTCTTGTGAAGCCAGGACTTAGCTGTGGCATCACTACCACCCAGAGAGATTAAAGGAAGGTACCCTCCAGTTCTCGTGGGGAATTTTCTAAAAAGTGTGTGTGTGTGTGTGTGTGTGTGTGTGTGTGTGTGTGTGTGTGTGTGTGTGTGTGTGTGTTCTCCTTTAAGGCAGGGAAAGGATGTGGCTATGTATCAAAACATCAATTAAATGTACAATTGGTTCCATTGACATAGTAAACTGTGAGTCCAGCCCTATTTACTGAATAGTAGTTATCTCCGCTAAGCCAGGGCTGTAGGATGTTTCAGGCTGACCTTCTGGAAACTCAGTTCCTTTTCTCTCTCAGCTGTAATAATACTCACTGTGGTGTGAGTTCCACCAACAGCTTTCAGTCCAGAGGAAGTTTACCTTGGCAAGTTGAAACTTAAAATGGGGAAAGAAATGCTTCTTTCTTCTTCTAGATGAGGCTGAAGCTTTGAATTAGATATTATAATTACCTGTACTTAGTTTTATGTGAGAAATGTAACCCACATATTGACTGCAACATTTGGCCAACTCTGCTGAGATTCCAGATGGCCTAGGAGCTGACTATACAGATGATTTCCAGGCCTGAGACTGATTACTGGCCCTTTCTGTAATTACTTGATCTTATATGTACCAATATAGGCAAGGTATAAAAACTTTATTAAAGGACAGATTTTAGAGAAGTTGGAAAAACAATATCCAATAATAAAATGAATTATTGTGTCCAAAGCATATGTGCCATTTGGCTTCCTTCCCATCTACTGTACTTAGTTTTGTTATTGTAGTAGAAAATCAGACATGGACCATTAAAAATGAGTGAGATTGTGTTCCAATAAAACTTTATTTATAAAAACAAGCAGCTGTTTGTAGCCTATAGCTTCAACCTCTTGATTTATGATATAATGCATTTCATGTACATTGATGTATGTGTCAGTTGAAAAAAAACTCAATCAAAGACAGCTAAAACTTGAGAAAAACTGACAAGAAATACTGTAATAGGGAAGTTCCAGGTTGATTAATTAGAGAAATTCAATATTGTCTACAGGCTCAACAGAGCCCATGTATGAGTGTGTGTGTGTGTGTGTGTGTGTGTGTGTGTGTGTGTTCATGCACACGTGCGTGTGCCACTCACACACAACTAAACATGAAATGTTATAGCCCTATCTTTCCTCTGAGTCTTTTATGCATCACTGGTAGAAGTAAAGATGATCAGGATTATTTTCCTTTGTACTTGTAGAACCCCCCACAGGCTGAAATTTATGAGGTTCTAGAAAGTTCTATAGTGGCAAAGGACTCAAGTTCTACTTCTTTCTCCAACTGACATGTAAACTGGGTGTGTTTTGACCTCTGATTGGACTGGCACATAGTAACATCTCCATAAACCTTATTATGGATAAATGAAAGAATGAATGAAAGGCCAGGGGAAGGACAGAGGTAGAGAAAGGAGGAAGGGAGAGAAAGGAATAGAGGAAGATGGACAAGTGTAGATCAGAAATCAGATATCATCTCATGTTGCAACAAAGTGCTTTAGTGAGCCAGCTATGATTAGCCTTTTAATATGGATAATATAGATTATATACATACATATATATGTGCATATATATCATATAACAGATATGTGTATACACACATATATACATGTATAATGAATATATAATACATAATATAATATGTAGTGAATATTTAATTTACTTCTACAGCATATAATATATATAAATACCTAATTTATCAATTTGTTATAATTTATACTTACTTCTATAGCATCTAATATATTAATTAAATATTCATTCTGCTCCCTCCTTGATGATGTTTCCAGTTGTTCCTCTCAGGTGCAAAGGGAGGTGGCCTGTCTGGAAGTCTGAGAAGAGGGCTTTGTCAATGGGAAAGCAGAATTGGAATAGTGATTAAGCAAACCACCATGAGCCAGGGAGGTCTTCCAGAGCAGGTGTCTTTTGCCTTCTCCTTTGTTCTTAGAGTTCCCGAAATAGTCCCCAGCCTAAACCAAATCAGCCTCAAATGGAATGATTAAAACTTCCACTCTGCAAATCTGAGCAATGTAAGAATTGTTAAAACTGGCCCGTCTGGAGATAATTTATAAGTAACACTTGCCTTTCAATTGGGCTTTGCCGTCCCAAAGAGTCCTCTGTCCCCTCCGTGGGAGCACTGCCAAGACACAGTGTGCTAAATTGGGCCAGAGACACTGAAGCTGCTGGCGTGAGTTTCTTATCTCTGATTCTTCTAAGAATTTGGGACGCTTCACAGAACTATTTCTTTTTCCTCACGTAAAGTGTAAACTAAAAGTTGTTGTCTATCTTCTGGAAAGGCCTTCTGAATTTTAATGCATGTGATGTACTTAGCTTTTACTTTTTACACTACTGAAATAGTTGAGACATGAGCCAAATATTCAATAGAATTCTAACTATTCCACACACAGAGTAAGGCATGGGAGCGTTAAACATGACCAAGTTCTTTGCTCCTTTTTCACTGAGTTCTGTTGACTGAAAAAGGAGCCATTACTTTCAGCTCTTCTTGTTCCCTCTCTCTCAGGTCTGTCTTACCCAGCATAGCCCTTGTCCCTGCAGTGAATGTGGCTCTGAAAACCCATTCCAGCTCTGCTGGACTGTCTGATTGGCAGCAATGTGGGCAGAGCACATTGTGGAGTCATGGAAATCAATGCTGTGTGGAGGTGTTGCAACTGAGTAATGGTCCTGTTTCTGACCTCTGTAGGGCTAACATGTCAATGCTCTTCCAAGTCTAAGATAGGACAAGTTTCACTAGACCTTGTTCTGGCTCACAGAGAAATGAAGTTTTAAAACAATCCAGTTCAAAGGAGAGTCTTGCAACCTGCAATTCTGTTTCGTGTATAGAGTTCTTCCCACAGTTCTCCTAACACAGTACATACTCAACAGAGCATGGTGACGCACACATATAATCTCTGCACTTGGGAGACTGAGGTAGGAAGACTGCAAGTTTAAGATAAGCCTGGGACAAATAGTGAGTCTCAAAAATAAAAAAAAGCCATACACACACACACACACACACACACACACACACACACACACACACACACACACACACACACACACACACACACACACACACACACACACACATATATGTATAATCCCCTCCCTATCCCCAGAAGGCCCTGAGTCCTGCAGGCTGTGCATTTGGGCATGGTGCTAAAGGGTTTTCATACCATTTGTCCATGACAAGTGACAAAATTGATCTGTTGATCCTGGAGGAGGTCATATTGAACTCTGTGTATGGGCACTAGGAAATTTATAAGGCAATCCTTTTCTTGGGTTGAAGATGAAGAGCTATTATTTGGAAATATATAATATTACACGTAGCTGTGCTAAACCAAACACAACCGCATGGCATCCATATGGAATCCAGACACATGCCTCTTTCCCAGAGCATGAACAGCCTTTTTCTTTTAATGCTGGCCTGAAAGTATGCATGTAGCTAGTTTCTAGTGAGACCTTGCTCCCACAAGGTGGTGCTTCTTTGTGACCTCCACACCTTCCCTTTCACCCCCCATCCCA